AAGGAAGAAAGAAAGGAAGAAAGGAAGGAAGGAAGGAAGGAAGGAGAAAGAAAGAAAGAAAGAGAGAAAGAGAGAGAGAAGGATGAAGGGAGGGAGAGGGAGTGGGAGGGAGAGAGGAAGGGAGGAAGAGAGGGAGAGAGGGAGGAAGGGAGGGAGGAGGGAGAGAAGGAAGGGAGAGAGAGAAAGAAAAAGAAAAGAGAGAGAGGCTACAGTCATTGTGGGCAGGCTCCTACAGCCCCCAAATCTCAGTATAGGAGTCGATGTGGAACATCAGATAGACTGCCTGCCAGAGACACCCTGTTGCCTTAAAGCAAGTTAAACAAAGTTAAACAAGTTAAAAAGTTAAGCAAGTTAAACCAAAAAATAAATATAAAGGACTTGGAGCGGTGTGTTGGTGGCTCACACCCATAATCCTAGCTACACAGGAGGCTGAGATCTGAGGGTGGCACTTCAAAGCCAGCCTGGGCAGAAAAGTCCCTGTGAGACTCTTATCTCCAATTAACTACTCAAAAACCAGAAGTGTGCTGTGGCTAGATTGGTAGAGCACTAACCTTGAGCACAAAGTGGCTCAGGGACAGCACTCAAGCCCTGAATTCAAGCCCTACAACCAACAAACAAGAAAAGGGACTTGGATTTGAATATGATATTAAGAAATATAGTCAACATAATGGGAAAATATTTCTCTAGGCAAGGAAGACTGATTCTAATATGGGGTGTTACCCAAACAGACCTTACACACACACACACACACACACATATATACCTCACATACAAAATAAAACAATCATTAGGAAAACATTTTAGTTTCTGTGGTCATGATGCTGCTAAGTCTTCTGCCTCAAAAAAAATCTATACTGGAAAGAAAAACAGGGAGAGAATGGAGGAGAGAGTGACATTGTCCAAAAGGAAATGTTCTCATTAACTGACTTATGTCACTATAACTCCTCTGTACATCACCTTTATAATAAGAAGTTCAAAAGAAAATCTACACTCAACTACAATGGCTGCTTCTAAATCTACATGATTAGGTAGCCATGAGCTGCTCATGACTTTGAACAAGTGAGAACGATTCCATGAATACATTCTTTGGATAGACAATCAAACAAATCCCAGAGTATGATGCAATGTAATGGAAACCCAAAGGTTCAAGACCCACTGCACTTTACAGAGATGGAGAAGCTAGTGGGCCCGGTGGTAAACATGAGGGAGATCAGCAATACACACAGACACAACCACAAAGCAAATGGGGCTACTATAAGATAGATTTGCTTGATAATAATCATCTCCAGCTCCCCTGCACTGTCTCCGCTCTCCCTCTCATGCACACACACACACACACACACACAGCCCCATACCAGGCCATCCCATCCTCAGCTCAGCCCTGCTCTCAACCCTCTTCACTTTCCAGAGGACCTGAGCAAGGTGACCCCACCCACGGTCAACGTGTTCGAGCCATCAGAAGCAGAGATCGCCCAGAAACAAAAGGCCACCCTCGTGTGCCTGGCCACGGGCTTCTACCCCGACCACGTGGAGCTGACCTGGTGGGTGAACGGGAAGGAGGCGCACAGTGGGGTCAGCACGGACCCTCAGCCCTACCATGAGTACCCCAATGTCAGCGACTCCACCTACTGCCTGAGCAGCCGCCTGAGGGTCTCGGCTGCCTTCTGGCACAATCCTCGCAACCACTTCCGCTGCCAAGTCCAGTTCTTTGGGCTGGAGGAGAAAGATGAGTGGACCTACGATAAGGCCAAGCCTGTCACCCAGAACATCAGTGCCGAGATGCAGGGCAGGGCAGGTGAGTGGGG